CCCACGCGTTCCTCCTCCCCCTGCACCCGCTCCCCGCAGCACAGGGGAACCCCCCCCCTCCCGTGCGCTGCCTGTCCCAGGACTTACTCCCCTCCTGTCCACAGGGAAGCCGTGCTCCAAGTAAGGCACAGGAAATGGAAGGGGCAGGGTTTGGAATTTGGCGCCCCATGCAACTTGGCACCCTAGGCGGCTGCCTAGTTTGCCTATAGGCACAGGCGGCCCCTGATGAGCCCTTGGAAAATTTAGCACATTAGCAGCACTTAAATCACTTTGCAAACAAAGCAGTGTTTGTCAACATAGGGGTCACAGAACAGGTTTTGGGTTTGCGGGAGGGAGTAGGAAGCAGGACAATTGTCTGAGGCCTCATAAAGCTAATGTGTATGTTTCGGTCCCCTCTGCCGAGGGCTTAAACCTGAACCCCACCATGCTTTTAAATCCAAAGCTTGTGGCCCACATGAAAAGGTTGAGAAACACTGTTCTGAAGGAATGTACTTTAAAAATACAGAATTTTATGTCCTGCAGTGCCTTAATGTTGTGAGATTATTAGGACTTTTATATTAATCCTTACCCAGGTCTATTTACCGGTAGATATTTAAGAGCAATGAGTACAGAGTAAATTCTCATACATCACGAGAGATAAGGCAGATAACAGACCTATATCCAGAACAGAAGAAATGTGAATGAAAGTGAAGGAGTATGCAGTTCACTGGGAAACATGGGCATGCAAATACTACAGACCTCTCTGGTCTGGCACCCCGGGAACCTGACCAGTCCCAAATGAGGGAATTTGTTGTACCAGATGAAGTCCCCTGCTACCAGCTGCCCCTGCCCTGCTATTGGGACTGCTGTGGCTGCCACATGCCCAGCCCAGCTCAGCTATTGGGATTGCCATGGCTGCCTTGTCTCTAGCCCTGCTACCATGGTTGCTGTGACTGCCATGTGCCCAGCCCTACTACTGGGGATGCTGCAGCCCCTGCTGCGCTACCGGGGTTCCAGTGCCGGTCCCAACACCAGTCCACTTGCCACTGACAGGGGCTCTCAGCCAGGACTGCCTGGTCCAGAAACACCCATGATCCTGCTGGACCACAGATGTTGCCGGATGAGGGAGTCCCCGTTTTGGGATGTTCGACCTGTAGTGTAATAAAAGCCAAAAAAAGAAAGAAAACATGAGCAACTACAGTAGAAGACTTTGGGGACAGTAAATGAAGGAGAGAAAACTGTAGATGACTTAGTAAAAAACCCCAGTCTCACTGGAAAATGTGCTAAGTCAGAGACTTTTAAATGTCAAGGGGAAAAAGGGATATTAAGCAGGTAATATAACTCACTGGTCAAATTTGAACCTTTGACCTTGAGCAATAAAGCCAGCTAGCTCTCAGCCTGGGCTGTAGAGCTCCCTTGTTCTTATCGCTCACTGTAAGTGGTCTAAGTGTCACTACATGGGACAGTGAAGCTCTCTAGGACTACATCTACACTGCAGAGTTTTTGTGCAAAAACAGCTGGTTTTGCATAAGAACTCGCGGAGCGTCCACACCAGAAGTGCATTTTTGCACAAGAAAAAGTATAGTAGATCGTCAGACGACAGAGCTTTTTTGCACAAGAGTTATTCCTCTTTCTAGGAGGAATAAGCCTTTTTGTGCAAGAGCTCTTGTGCAAAAAGGTGTGTGTGGATGGACAGCGAGTTTCTTGTGCAAGAGCGTCCATGGCAGTGTGGACGTTGTCTTGTGTAAAAGCACATCTCTTGCACAAAAGCACATGGCAGTGTGGAGCCACTCTTGCGCAAGAACTTTTTGTGGAAGATCTCTTCTGCAAAAAGTTATTGCGCAAGAAGCCTGCAGTGTAGATGTAGCCCCAATGTATTGGTTCAGTTACACAATGAGATAGATGCAGAGAATGATGGTATGGCCACAGCAGAGACTATTACAGGGCTATCTGTGCAAGTGCAAAGAATTCTGATAAACCAGAGAAGGGAAAAAAATTGATTAAATGGAATTATAAATGTTGTTAGACATCTGCTTCTATCTTCTGGGAATAGTGAGAGTGGTTTAGAAAAGCCCAAACACTAAGACTAGGGCTACGTCTAGACTGGCCCCTAATTCTGGAAAAGTCATGCAAAGCAGGTAAGTCAGAATAGGGAAATCCACGGGGGATTTAAATATCCCCCGCGGGATTTAAATAAACATGTCTGCCGCTTTTTTTCTGGCTTGGGGAAAAGCCGGAAAAAAGCGTCTAGACTGGCGCAATCCTCCGGAATAAAGCCCTTTTCCGGAGGATCTCTTATTCCTACTCTTATTCCTACTTGAAAGAAAAACTTTTCCGTTAAAAGCATTTGCGGAAAATCATGCCAGTCTAGACGTAGCCCCTCTGTCTACATTAATGGCTTCCAGGAACTATTTCTGGAGAAAACTATTAGTGCACTTTATTTGTCCCCTGTATCCACTCTGCTTGCAGAGAGCTTATTTAAATCTGGCACTAGCTCTAGTCTGTGGGCTTTTCCTGTATGCAAATAACCGTCAATTAAAGTGGTTTTCAAACTATGGGTTGCAACCCAGTACAGGGTCTTGAAATGTGAAGCACTGGGTCTCATTACTGCAGGATGATCAGTTGACTAGCAGGAGTGCTAAGGCAGGCTGCTTACCTGCCCTGGAACTGTAGACTGCTCTGTATCCCAGAAGTGGATGGCAGCATGCCTGACTCCTAGGTGGAGAAGGGGCAAGCACACAGGGCTCTGCTCACTGCCACTGCTTCAACCACTAGCTCCACACTCCCATTGGCTGGGGACCTGATGCTGTTTCTGGGGCGCTGCATGATCTGTAGCATGATAGCACCCCCCACTGCACCTCTGACTGGGACCTGCTCAAGGTAAGCTCCTCCTGTTCCAGCCCTGACCCTCTCCAAAGCTCTCATCCTCAGCCCTGGATACCACACTAGTCAAATTATGTTGGGTCACACACATCAACAATTTTCTTCAACTGGGTCATGAGAAAAAAAAGTTTGGAAACCACTGCTCTAAGAGATGAGAGTCTTAGTGCAAACTACTCTAACACCACTATGTTGTTCTAGTACTTGTGGCAAACTTCATAGGTATTTCCACTGATCTTATAGACACAGCAGTTTTCCAACTTTTTGTACTGGTGAACTCTTCCACACAGCAAGGATTTGATTGTTTCGGTCTTCACTGAGAAGTCTGGAGGTGTGCCTAACGTAGTGAATACAAGCAGAGAGAGGGTAAGTTTAGAAGATAGGATACACAAAGAACAGGTTAAAAATCACTTAGGAAAGTTAGATGTCAGCAAGTCACCAGGTCCTGATGAAATGCATCCCAGGATACAGGCAGTCCCCGGATTACGTACAAGATAGGGACTGTAGGTTTGTTCTTAAATTGAATCTGTATGCAAGTCGGAACTGGCGTCAGCCGCTGCTGAAACTGATCAGTTTCAACCGCGGCTGAATCTGGATGCCAGTTCTGACTTACATACAGATTCAACTTAAGAAACCCAGGTGTCCCCAAGTCAGCTGCTGCTGAAACTGATCAGCGGCTGATTCCAGGAAGCCTGGGGCAGAGAAACTTAGGATAACGAGCCTTGTGGATAAGGGAGAAGTGGTGGATGTCATATACCTAGACTTTTGTAAGGCATTTGATACGGTCTCGCATGATATTCTTATTGATAAACTAGGCAAATATAACTTAGATAGGGCCACGATAAGGTGGGTGCATAATTGGCTGGATAACCGTAGTCAGAGAGTTGTTGTTAACGGTTCTAAATCCTGCTGGAAAGGGATAGCAAGTGGAGTTCCTCAAGGGTCTGTTTTGGGACCCGTACTGTTCAATATCTTCATCAGTGATGTAGATATTGGGATAGAGAGTACGCTTATTAAGTTTGCAGATGATACCAAACTGGGTGGGGTTGCAACTTCTTTGGAGGATAGGGACATAATTCAAAATGACCTTAGCAAGTTAGAGAAATGGTCAGAGGTAAACAGGATGAAGTTTAATAAAGAGAAATGCAAAGTGCTCCAACTATCCAGACATATGTTGGGAAACTAACACAGCGGGGCACAGGCTATCCAATAAGTTTCTGGACTGCATTGGAGACAACTTTCTGTTTCAGAAGGTTGAAAAAGCTACCAGAGGAGAAGCTGTTCTGGATTTGGTTTTAACAAATAGGGAGGAACTAGTTGAGAACTTGAAAGTGGAAGACAGTATAGGGGACAGTGATCATGAAATAATAGAGTTCATGATCTTAAGGAAAGGTAGAAGGGAGACCAGCACAATTGAGGTTATGGATTTCAGGAAGGCAGATTTTGATAAGCTCAGAGAACTTGTAGGTAAGGTCCCATGGGAAGCAAGACTGAAGGGAAAAACAACTGAGGAGAGTTGGAAGTATTTCAAAGGGACGTTGTTAAGGGCCCAAAAGCAAACAATTCCGCTGTGTAGGAAAGATAGAAAATATGGCAAAAGACCAGCTTGGCTTAACAAGGAGATCTTGCATGATCTCAAAATAAAAAAGGAGTCATATAAAAAATGGAAACTAGGACAACTAACAAAGGATGAATATAGGCAAGCAACACGGGAATGCAGGGGCAAGATTAGAAAGGCAAAGGCACAAAATGAGATCAAACTAGCTACAGGCATAAAGGGAAACAAGAAGACCTTTTATAAATACATTAAAAGCAAGAGGAAGACCAAGGACAGGGTAGGCCCACTGCTTAGTGAGGAGGGAGAAGCAGTAACAGGAAACTTGGAAATGGCGGAGATGCTCAATGACTTCTTTGTTTCGGTCTTCACCGAGAAGTCTGGAGGTGTGCCTAACGTAGTGAATACAAGCAGAGAGAGGGTAAGTTTAGAAGATAGGATACACAAAGAACAAGTTAAAAATCACTTAGGAAAGTTAGATGTCAGCAAGTCACCAGGTCCTGATGAAATGCATCCCAGGATACTCAAGGAGCTGATAGAGGAGGTATCTGAGCCTTTAGCTATGATCTTTGAAAAATCATGGCAGACAGGGGAGATTCCAGAAGACTGGAAAAGGGCAAATATTGTGCCCATCTATAAAAAGGGGAATAAGAACAATCCAGGAAACTACAGACCGGTCAGTTTAATGTCTGTCCCAGGGAAGATAATGGAGCAGGTAATTAAGGAAATCATATGCAAACACTTGGAAGGTAATAAAGTGATAGGGAATAGCCAGCATGGGTTTGTGAAGAACAAGTCATGCCATACTAATCTGATAGCTTTCTTTGATAGGATAACAAGCCTTGTGGATAAGGGAGAAGCGGTGGATGTCATATACCTAGACTTTAGTAAGGCATTTGATACGGTCTCGCATGATATTCTTATTGATAAACTAGGCAAATATAACTTAGATAGGGCCACGATAAGGTGGGTGCATAATTGGCTGGATAACCGTAGTCAGAGAGTTGTTAACGGTGCTAAATCCTGCTGGAAAGGGATAACAAGTGGAGTTCCGCAAGGGTCTGTTTTGGGACCCGTACTGTTCACTATCTTCATCTTCATCAATGATGTAGATATTGGGATAGAGAGTATGCTTATTAAGTTTGCAGATGATACCAAACTGGGTGGGGTTGCGACTTCTTTGGTTCTGTTTTGGGACCTGTACTGTTCAATATCTTCATCAATGATGTAGATATTGGGATAGAGAGTACTCTTATTAAGTTTGCAGATGATACCAAACTGGGTGGGGTTGCAACTTCTTTGGAGGATAGGGACATAATTCAGAATGACCTTAGCAAGTTAGAGAAATGGTCGGAGGTAAACAGGATGAGGTTTAATAAGGAGAAATGCAGAGTGCTCCACTTAGGAAGGAACAATCAGTTCCATACATACAAGATGGGAAGCGACTGTCTAGGAAGGAGCATGGCGGAAAGGGATCTAGGGGTCATAGTGGACCACAAGTTGAATATGAGTCAACAGTGTGATGCTGCTGCAAAAAATGCTAATATGATTCTAGGTTGTATCAACAGGTGTGTTGTAAGCAAAACTCATGAAGTCATTCTGCCGCTCTACTCTGCACTAGTTAGGCCTCAGCTGGAGTACTGCTGCTTTAAAGTACTCCCTCTCCTTCCGTCCTCCATTGTAGCCTCTTTGATAGAGATATCAATGGGGGAAGTGACTAAATAGACTATCCTGTCAACTAGTCCTTCACATCCCTAATATATATGCAACCTAAGGCCATCATGCACAGCCATGCTCAACAACATTCCTATCAATTAGGATAAGGAAGTAAAGTTGAAATAGAAATCAGTTCTTCTGTGGGGGACAGGAGAAAAACAAACACACAAATCCACAAAGTCTTGTATGCCATGACAAAATATCCAAGCAATAAAACGTCATTAGAACCAGTGTGTCGGTAAGAAATTTATTTTGCTGATCTCAAACCTTTCAGGCCAAAACTCAAGATGGAAAATGGCAGTTCACCATACCAAAATATTTTCCAATAATATGTAACATTTTACTGAAAGAATAATTTAATGGAATACCCAAGAAGTTTATTTTTCAAACCTTCAGCAAAAATCTGGGAATTCCATTCCTTTAAATAACATTACCAGTTTTTAAAAACTCATCTGTTGTATTTTTAGAGAAACAATTAACTGGTATAAGTACAGCATAACTCAGCATTGTGAGCCTCTTTGCTTTTAACGGTTTGGAGCTGGCAAAAATATTACCCTAGGAAAATCAGCTGCAGCAGTTGCATGGTGATATACAGGAAGTCAGCTTGGCATTTAACAATACAGGTTGAACCTCTCTGGTCCGGCAACATCCATGACCTGGCAGGAACATGGATATTGCTGGCCAAGAGATCTCCAGCCACAAAAGCTGCAGGCTAGGAGATGAGCTAGTAAGGTGACAGGCCAGCCAATCACAAAAGAGCCCTGACAATTGGAGTGGGGCTGGTGGCCATGGGGAGTGGAGTCTGGCAGGAAGGCCAGGACAGCACATTATCTGGGGCCGGAGACCAGGAGAGGACCCCTGGTAAGGCAAACTCCCTTGTTCAGGGCATCTCAAGTTCCTAGGATGCTAGACCAGGGAGGTCCAACCTGTATATAGTATCTATTCAAAGCAAGTGCCTAACTCCAACATTTTGGTCTTCAAGCAGGATGCCTTCAAAGGAGAGGTAAATAGAGTCCTCTACCATTAAACAGAGGTAGCAATAAGAAGCAAGTCTAAGCCACATGAGTGTCAAGATCAATTATACTCTTGCTTCAATGTTTAAGGAATGTGCTTACCAAATTTGTTAGCATGCGTGAATTCAAGTTAACAGTCCACATGCATATTTTTAAGTACATTTAAAACTGGTGAGTTACCAAGACCTGGAAATTGACATAATTTATTCATAGAATAGATCATATTCTGGGTATTACTTGTGCATGTTTCCAGTGCCCTTTCTAGTATGCCTCAATTCTGTGCTGAAAGTCTTTAGGAGCAAGAGGGAAATTCAGTCTGTCTGCCAACTACTTCTAAATATGACTTTAGTTCTTTTTATATGAACACTTGCCTGATAACTGGATTGAGAATTTCCAACTACTCACAGTTACTGAACAATTTTCAGTAGATAGTGATGTCTTAATGAATGACAACTCTCTATTGAACTAGCACTCAAAAATGTGTTCTGAGGAACTATGATGCTTAGTTATAAGTATAATACAGTTTATGGCTAGAATATTAAAAGCTAGAAACTTTGTAGAACAACTTGCTAGCTGCACAGTATAATACATGATTTTTGGCAATTTTAGTTTAGAACATGTCTGTTTCTAAATTCTGTTATATCTCATTAGTTATAAAGGGTTATTAGATCCAGTTTACAGTATTAGTTGGTCAAATTAATGTACATTTTCTCCTTTGTGAGACTATAACAGCACAGGAATATGAATGAAAGTACGATCAATTGAATCCACATGAAAACATGTGCTCACTGTCCAGAGCGATACACTTGTTTCTTCTCACTTTCATTAGAGTATTATAGATTTACAAAAGAAAATATATACAGGTTACAGTATGTTAAGCAAGACTTGTAAGAATATTTTCCACTAAGGATATATTTTTCTTGCTTAATTTTCAAAAATAAATACAGGCTTTCAACTGAAAGCATTTATTTTCCTAGTTATTTGAAGAGGAGTCTGGGGAGGGGAAAAAAGCTTCAGACTTTTCATAGTCCACTTTGTTACATAAAACATCGCCTGTCCCAATGCTTGCTCAAATCCAAGTGATATTTTCTTCCTGTGAAATATGACTGGAGCTTTCATTTTATTTTCAACTATTCAGTCTGTTTCCATGGCAGCACTACGGGATTCCTTAGCTACCATGAGTCGCATTAGCTGACTGTGGAATTTCTCAATCTTCTTTACATCTTGAGCCTGGTCCGTTCTATATAGCAGACACTGTCAAAAGAAAGTTATTAAATGTCAGGTTTTATTTCAAGTTATTTATATCTGTGATTTAGAGTTTCCATATTAATTTCACATATTTCTGACACCAGAAAGTTACACTACAAAGTGAAAGACTTCAAGGACTCTGATCAGTGCCATATGTACTTTGTCCCACACTTGAAGGGGCAACATAAAGCTACTGTAACATTAGCTACCCTTAACTCAATCATCAATTGTTGTAATAAAGTTTTAAAAATTTATATCTATATAGATATAAAATATTTCTAAAACAATCTTCCTTTGCATCCTCTATATCGCATATCTGCATTAACACTGAAAACTCTTGATACAAGGGACTGTTGTCAATGTCACCAAGCAGTGATTTGCACTTAGAACTCCGTTGTCAAAGCCTTGCTGTAGCGTGCAAGATTTTGGGTGCCATAAAGCTACCAATGAATACAGTGAACTCTATTCAATGTTGTATACAGGTAACATTCTAAAGTTATAATCTGTATAATACTAAAAGAAAATCTGGAATAAATTAACATGTGCCAACATAATACTTTACTATTGACATTCCTTAAAGCACCATTCATAACATTTTGTATAGTGTTAAACAGTTTTATTTAACATCCACTCAAAACTCAGATTAATGGTTTTATCTTTCCCCTTTAGCAAATGCACTCTACATGTTTATACTTGAAATGAATATTCTAGCAGTTAAAGTTTAACGAGCTCTCCCCCAATCTAACTTGTTTTACGATTACGCAAGTACTACTTTGCTTTCATGTGTCTTCTACAAAGAACCACAGTCCACGTGGTTAAGCATAAGATCCCTTGAACTACAATCTAATTGTTGAATGAAAAACTTAAGAAAAATACTTAAGACTGAAATCTGAATCAGATAAATGGTGCATTTTAAAATTAAATGAGGTTCATATTGATTTTCTTTTTCCTTTTCAGGAAAATTTAAGCAAAGGTCTCTTTTCATAATACCAAGAGTTCTCAAAAAAAGTCTCAGCAGCAGACCAAAAGCTGCTCCTTAAGAGGGAATTATTGTGTTAACACATGAAACAGATTATTTCCGTGTGGGTTCTGTAGTAGATTTTGAATGTGAAATTAATCTTTCCTTGGATTTTCTCACTATAGATCTTCATACTTTTGGGATGTACTTATTTTGTCACCATCAGCGCTAGATTAAGCATTACTTACAAGTGAAAAAAAGTCAAGATTTTTTTTCTCCCATTTTTGAAGTTCACTGTCTCTATGACCAAGTAGTATTTCTACATGCAAAAGTCATGAAGAATCAAAGAGCCACCTTAGTAAGATAGGGATAACTTCTCTTCATCTGATACTTTTCCTTCTCTATTGCACATTATAGACAGAAGTAGGCTGCCACTGTTTGATTCGTCATCATGATCACATACTAGACACTAATACCGATACGCAACACACTGGGATTTAAAATTGGTTGCAGATGGAAGCCACAAATGCTTTTGTTTGCTTAAGAGGCAGCTCGTGGATTTGGGGACACCAGCTGAAATAGCAGGTGACTTGGAATGATTAGTTCCCTCTATCCCTTTAGCATGAATAGAGTAACACAGCTGTCCAGACTGATCTACCAAAGGAATAAAAATAGAAAGCTTCGGTCTCCAGGGATGTCAATACAGCAATTTTACTCGCATTAAATTCACATAAAAACTTCTTTAAACTTTGAGGCATGCAGTATAAAAATCTAGTTCAGTCTTTCTACAGCTATTCTGCCTCTGCAGAGGTTACAGAAGCAGAACTTAGCTTTGTCAGTAAAGTTTGCTACTTTGACATGGTGACAAGCAGATGATTGTAAAAGGGGCTGTTTTAAACTACGTTTCTTCTAACAAATCTGTCTTAATGCCTCTAATTGAATATCCCTTTGGGCTTCAGAGCCTCTCTTGTACTGTAATTACCTATCCACAGACATCTGACTATTTCTCCACCACAGTCTGGACTCAGACACTGACCAAACCTTCTAAGAAGAATCTGCAGACTAGATAAAGTTCGTCTCCTCCCTGAAAAAACAGTATCTTAAAGACAAATGACTAGTAATATGGATCATTGGACTGCGTTCACACGTCCTGTTCTCCCTTGTTTATTCTTCTGTGAGTTGCTCATTCCTCTTAGACCCTGTCCCCTTTCCTAAACATCCCTCCAGTGTTTCTGGATAGAAATCAGCTAGAGGAGACATGTAAGTACATTCAGCTTGACAGTAATACAGTATTTTTTTAAAAGACTTTTGTATTCTAATTCAGGGGAGGAAAGGTTACAAAAACGCATGACAAACACTCCCAAGAGATGCCACCAAACATACAGCTGGTCACATAATATGTAATAAACCATGCAGGCTCTAAGATCAATGTTTGAATTCAGTCTGATACCAAATGGCAGGTATACCCCCAAAGTAAGAGAGAACTAGGCTTAAATTTAGAAGAACTACTGACCCTTCCCTTAGAGAACAAGGATGACAAGAACTACAAAAGCCTTTGATCTGGGAAGGATGTAGTAACTGCATCGGCAATACTGCCAACTTTGAGATCAGAAATTGTGACTCACACTGCTAATGAGATAAAAAAATAATCAAATCATGTTCTTCAGTCTGTCTTTTTTACTTTAACTCTATTCCTAGCCTGTAGACATAGCTATAGTCTAAAAGCAGGGAGAAGTGGTAAACAACTTTATTAAGGGAAGCTTTTCCACAGGTAGATGGATGTCATTTCTCTATCATCTATTTTGCTATGTCAGCCCCACAGACAGAAGGGGCCATTTTGAATAGGGAACCTTTCATCATATTTTTAGACAAGTTAAAACATGCCCCAAAATCACAAGAGTTGTGGGAAAAAATAATGAGTTGGCAATATTGCATTTGTTCATGGAGCTCCTTAGCTAGATTCCTGGATAATTTCTCCATGCTTGTGGGGCCAAGACAAGGTAATGTTGGGCGAGTGGCTTCATGTCTAGGATTTTGTGTTTGCTGTTTAAGTGTGTCGTTTCCTCACTTCAGTGAGGTTTCTTTATTATGTTATAAAACTTACTCCACTGAGTCTCTTCTTTACATTATTTGCCTATAAACAAACATGTACATTACATATTTAAAAGTTTTAGACTTTCAGAACAGTTCAACACCAGAAACTTTTCCAATACAGTATCGAGAAGGGGTGTAGGAATAACATTTGTATGCTGGCAAAAGTCTTAGTGCAGATGGATTTAAAAGCCATAAATGGGCTTTTGCTAGTAGAGCTTATTTTATTCAAACTAGTGCAAGTTATATTGCCAAAAGCCCTTTATACTTGTGTAAGCGGTGTCTGCAATAAGAGGGTTTGCTAAAATAGCTATACAAGCAAACCTTTTTCTACTTTAGACCTAGCCTTTCATTTCCCTTCTCCGGTCATTCTTTAGTTTGTACAGCAATGAAAAAACAAAAAGGAGTTACCTTTAACTGCAAGACTTTTATACAAACAAAAATAAAAATAGCATTTTCAGTTGTATTCCTCAAAAGAAACCCAGTAAGTTCCCTTAAAGTGAGCGAAAGGCTCACTCCTTCTCCCCTTGAAATCATTAGTAAATTGCCTCTCACACTCAATGGCTGCAGAATGGTGTATCAAGCTAGCAGCTGAGGGGTTCACAAAAACAGAGTGAAAGTAGTTCAGTGGTTTGAGAAAGTTAGACAAGCTTACAGAACCATCTATATATGAAGTTCTCTAGCAATTTTTATTCTTAATCAAATTAAATGTTAGCCTCTTAAAATATCAAGATCTGCAGTTACAACATTATTTACTTACAACTACATCATCTGTTACTTTGATACATAGATTCCCATCACAGTGTCGGTATTTAAGAACCACACGCACCTGAAAGGAGAAAACATTTTAGGAATTATTGATAGACAAGGATGAGGGTTTTCACACTACACATTCCTAACATTAAACAACTTGATATTTAAGTGTGTCATTTTATACTTTATTCAAGGAAACACTTGAATCCATTTCACTCATGATCCATTTCACTTAGCACCCATACATTGCCAAAATATTTACAGTTTGGATTTCTCAATGCTCAGGAAAGTTTTAGTTTCAACAAAAAGTGGAGTTTGCCCACATTTTAAAATGGTAGGTGTTTCCCCTCAAGAAAGCTGGGAAACTTAACCTTCCTGAAAATATCCTGTTAACTTCAAAGTTTCAAATTTATCATATGATCACTATTCATTCCTCCCTCAGAGACATTAGGACTGTACAGCCTCACAGTTGTGAACAGCTTGGGACTGGAGGTTGTTTGGGATTACGAACATTTCAGAATTACAAATAAAACACTATGGTTCTTTCAAAAGTTTACAACTGAACATTGACAATACAGCTTTGAAAGTTTACTATTCAGAATAAAAATGCTGCTTTCCTTTTAGTAGTTTTTATTTAACCCAGCACTACATTGAGTTTGCTCTCCCCTTCCCCACCCCGGATCTCTGCTGCTGCCTAATGGTGCACTTTCAGTTCCAAATGAGGTGCATGGTTGACTAGTAAGTTTATAACCCGAGTGTTCATCATGCTGAGGTTGAAGAATGTCAACATTGTTGTATCTAAATCAGATTGGGGAGAGAAGATTTTTTTTTAATATTTAAACATCACTTCACAAATATTCAACATAAGTCAAGGACTGCTTTGGGTCTGGAATGAGAGAAGTATGGGGAAAAAGTAATGTTACAGGTCTGACACCAAGGGTATGTGTACAGAACTAAAACACCCACAGCTAGTCTATGCCAGTGGATTCAGGCTTTCAGGCCTCAGACTATTTCATTGCTACATAGACTCCAGGACTCTGAGACCCTTGGACTTCGTAGGGTCCTCACGTCTGGGCTCCAAGCCAATCCCAGAAGTCTATACAGCCTGGAAAAAGCCCCATATTCTGAGCTGGCTGGCATAGGCTACCCATGGGTTTTTTGTTTTTACTATGCAGACATTCCCCAAGACTTATAAGGATGGGGGAGGACTGATTAGCAACTGGGAATTACCCAGTTATCCATTTGGCTTGTGGGATGGAGATCATTGTGAGCCTGGTTAACAAAAGGGACCAGAAATGCTAAGAAGTCTTTACCTTAAATCAGGATGCATCTCAGGCCATGTCTACAATACAACATAAGGTCAAATTTATTAAGGTCAATTTTAGCACCCAATTCTATAAGGTTCCCCAATGCTCAAGAATTCGACTTAGTTCGAAGTAGCGTGTACCCAGTAGGACAACTACCATCAACTGAGGGTGATTCACTGGGGGTAGCTATCCTAGAGTGCCTGCACCTCTTTAAATTCTGGGTTATGCTCCCAGTGCATGCTGAGACCAAAACTGTACAGCAAGTGGGTCTGGGTACCAATCATCAGCATCCCATAATGCACTTATTTCCTCCCTCCTCTCCATTGCCTGAGAGCAATGGCAAACAGTCTTTTCACACACTTTTTCTCTCTTGGTTATCCACAGAGACCATAACAGCATAAACATGGATTCCATCATGGAACCCATTGAGCATCAAAGTATTATGATTAAGATTAAAATCTTCATGTTCCTAATGCTGGAGTATGTCCAGAACATATTCAGGGTCCACAGGCACGAGGACAAAGGCCCTGAACATACTGTTCTGCAAAGCACTTCAGTTGAGCAATTGGCAAACTCCACCAGCATTCTACTGTAAGGCCACTTTAAGGAAATTTGGGAATTGCTTGCCCCAGCCCTGATGTGTAAGGATATCAGAATGAGACCTGCTCTGACAGTAGAGAAGTGGTGATTTCCCTGTGAAAGCTAGCAATGCCAGACAGCTACAGGACATTTGGGAATCAATTCAGAGTGGGGTAATCTACAGTAAGTACTGAGATTCAAGAAGCCAAGGCAATCAATACGCTTCTGCTATGGAGAGTAATAACTCTGGGAAAAGTAGAGAACATAGCAGAGGGCTTTACTGCATTGGGATTCCTCAACTGTGGTGGGACAAAGAATGGAATGCCCACCCTCATCTTGGCACTTAATCACTTTGCTAAGTAGTACATATACCACAAGGGGAACTTCTCAATGGTGCTGCAGGGGCTTGTGGATGACTACAGCCACTTCACCATCAACGTGGGAAGGTCGGAAAAGGTGCATGACACACATCTTTAGAAACTCTTGCCTCATCAGCAAGTTGCAATTTTTTTCCTCAGACCAGAAATGTGACCCAACCTACCCCTTGCTCCTATGGCTCATGAAGCTGTACATGGTCAGCCTGGACTACAGTAAGGAGCAGCTCAACTAATGGTTGAACAAGTGCTGAAAGGTGGCAAAATATGCTTTTGGGCATTTAGAGGGAAGGTTCCTCAGTCTGACTAGGTTAGACCTCAGCAAATGCAGGATTCCCATTGTGGTGTCAGCCTACTGTGAGCACCATAATATTCGTGAAAGGAAGGGGGAAGAGGGGAGAAGGTATCTGATGGATGGAGAGGGGGTAAGGCAGAGTGCCCAGCCAGGGATTTTGAGCAGCAAGCAACAGGAACTAAGGAGAGCATAGCAAAGGGCAGTGCAAGAGAGAGGCTTTGCAAGACAGTTTTATGACTGGTCAGTTTTGAGAGTCATGAACGTTGCTCTCAATGCAGTGCCCCTGCATTCAGTGTGCTTGCCTGTAATACTTCCCTCCTCCCCCAACACAAGCAATAAGAGACTATTGTTCAGAAATCATGCATTTTTATTCAGGGAACACAGCAAGGACAGAAGAGGAGTCCAGGGTGGGAAGGGTATCAGAATGGCAAGGTGGTCAGCCTTTTGCTTTGCAATGCAACCCTGTGGGTTGAGTGTGAGGTTGCCCTTGACTCCTCCCAACCCCGCATTCCAGGGCCCCTGGGAGAGGAGGCGGCTATGGAAATCTGCGAGGGGGGAAATGTTGGTCTGCAAGCCTGGAGGGGTGCCTATCCATGCAAGTGCCCTGGAAAGTTGTCATGCAGTCCATCACATCCGCCATAGATGACAAGACTCATGGAGCTTCACTTCCAGCTCCCTGCACACTTTCCTTTCCTCCTGCTCCACTTGCATTTCCTCCAGCAGCCTTCTCCTCCACTCACTTACATGCTCCCTGCCCAAGTTGGCAGATTGCATTTGCTTCTTGAACATCTCATCCCTAGTCAGTTTTCACTTGCAGATTTGTGCCAGGCAGGGGAGTGTGGAGCAGGCTCACTGCTATTTCTGCTGAACAGAAGCGAAGGGCAGACTTTACAAGAGATGTATTGTAGAGCATAAAAGCCTCATCTGCTAGAATAAAATGAAAGTCTGTCTAAAGACAATACTGATGCACTATGTACATGGCCACAGTTATGCTTTTAAGGGGTCACTATGCAGCAGATACACCTCTGTTCTTCGGGGAGAGCTAGACTCGGTTTGGTGGCAGGCATGATAAGGGCCATGCTAGGGCAGAGGCACAAATCTGCAGATGGGAAAGGGGAGGGAATCTGGGTGCTGTGGCAGAGCAGGGCCTCACACAGCACCCATGTGTTTGGCACCCTCTATCCCTCATTTGCAGGAGAGTGGAACTGTCCCTTCCCAAAGGAGCGGGGAGGAGACCGGGGGCAGAGGAAAGGAGGGGTTACAGGCATGGCAGCAGGGCAGGGGCTCAAGCCATGCTTCAATGGAGATGAGCAAACAGGTTTAACTAATGCCTCTGCAGTAATAGCTTCCCCTACTTCATCCAGATTGCCATGCCAGATACCAGTCTCTTCCAACTCACACAGATAGTGAGCAGATGCTGACTGAATGTGGCCAGAAACCTGGACCTTATGCTGCAACACTTTGTGCTGCAATAACACCAGACCACTTACTGTGGGCTTGACATGAAAAGACATGGAGGTAGAAATAAGGCAGGCCTCCCCAGAAACCTTGTGAGAAGGATTAAATAGTTCTTGTATGAGAGCTTTCTGAAGATGTGCAGGAAGGATTCCTGCTCCATCTCCATACACATTAACAAGCTGTTCCGGGGACAACCCCCCATGTAGGCACAGTATTCACCACAGATCACACCTAACTATTTAGCCACTTTTAGCAAGATTAAAAAAAAAAGTGAACTCACCAAAAGTGCCCTTCCCAGAATCAGTGTCCGACAGACATCCTGGGAAGAGGGGATTATCTCAAGGTTATAAAAAGTTTTTGGCTCTTGGTGACATTGGTTGCCCCACTTGCCTGCTGACTATTCTCCTCCTCCATGGGGTCTTCTTTGCTGCTACCTGAGTCTCTTGGCTGGAATTCACAGATTGGCTAGGGAAGCTGATTGGGTCCTCCCTAAGGATCTCATACTCATGGAAGTTTTGGAGCATCACTTCAAACATGCCACTTCTGTTTGCCTCGTGTCTTTTGGGATGACTTTCTCAGCTCCTTTATTTTCACTCAGCACTGCTGGGCACCCCTGACTCATTCTCTCTCCTCCATGCCATTTGCAATCTTCATGTAAATATCTTTATTTTGCTAGTTCGTAGTTTTGCAAGAACAGATTCCTCTCCCCACACAGCAATGAGGTGCAGATCCCCTGCACACTCCATGCTGGTGCTAGTCTGCAAACCTGGGAACTGATGGAGCTCAAGAAAAAGGGTGCTGCCTGCTCCCCACACAGGAAATTAAACACAAGTTTTTCCGAGACTTTTCCTGTTCATCTGGAGAAGAGGAGAGTTGGAAATCATGGCCAGAGTGGTCCCCACAGGGTACTGTGGCAAGCCACTGGGAAGCCAAGAACATTGACTTTCACAGCACTCAGTCTGCACTAGTGCAAATTCGACAATGCAAGTTTGAATTAGCAGTTATTCCTTATGAAAGCAGGCGTGCAGAAATAGATTATAATGCCTTTAAAGTCAATGGAATGTTCTTGATGGCGAGGACTCATTGTTTAGAAAAAAAATCAACGTAATGTGGCTAAGTTCGACCTAAACTCCCGATGTAGTCCAGGCCTCACAAATTACATCACTTGAATATTAAAGGAAAGTTCTCCCTTCTTCCTTACCATGGAGCTTGAGTGGCTAGAGGTCAAGACAACCACAAAGGAAGTGTAATAAGAGCCTGGTAGGTCCAACAATTTTCTGTGCCAGTTTTAACACCAAATAGTACTTATTGCCACCAATATAATCACTGGCATCTCAAATACATTTTGTGATATCTTCAGGGAAAAAGCAGGATTTCATAAAGGAAAAATGATTGTATAGGAGACAAATTAAATCTGTTTTGAGATATCCCTTCTTCCCTAGTCACCTTGGTGGGGACATATACTAAGTAGGGATGTGAGTAGATGAATTATAAGCCTAGGCTTATCGGTCAGTCAAGTCAACTACCTGCATCCCTCTTCCTGCTGCCTTTGCATCAGAGGTAGCAGGGGTAGCGGAGGAGGAGCAGCCAGTTTCCCCCCCCAGCACCATCTCTGGGGTGCTGCCTGTCCCCCCACGCCCATGCTTCTGCCTCTATCAGGCAACAGTGCAGGGGCGGGAGAAGATCAGAGGAGGCTGCCACAAAACCTAGGCTGATTGGTTAACTACTCACATTCCTCCCCTCTTGCTGCCTCTGTATCAGGGAGAGAGGAAGTGTGAGAAGCAGGAGCTGGTGCTGAGGGGAGCTGGCTTAAAAGCCAGTTCCCCCCAGCACTCCTTTGCAGGACTGGCTTCATGCTACTGCCTGCTGCAAAGCAACCCCTGTCCACAGGGGGTCCAAGCTCCCCACAGACAGTGGCTGCTCCACATCTCCTGGAGCAG